TCCGTAGCGTCTACTTTAATAGGGTATCCTCAGGCACTGATTAACCTTTCAAGAAAAATGTCTTTTCTGGTTGTAGGTATTTGCGAGTCTTTAGTTTCATATTGGATCCAAGTGTGCTAATGGTTGATTGTTGTATCGTTGAGAGGCTGCTGACAAGATGTCGTCTCTAAAAGCGTTTCGAATAAACATTGCAAACGATCTGATGGCAGCAGTGAAGAGAAAGATTGGAAGAACTTCACTATACCCTATTCGTAGTCCACTTATGCCCCGGCACAACAAAGATGCAGCGCGGCAAAGCAGGCAGAAGCCTAAGCGTTGCAATAGCTATTGGTCATTCGGCCATAAAACTACGAACAAGCGCAGGATTCGACAGGATAGAACTCACGCTCGGGATATCGCCGGCACGCCGACGCATGTCGTCTACGGATACAGCAAATGAACCTGAGAATATGTCTCCCAATGATTCCTTTAGCCACGCTTCCTCTTCAGTGCCGTCTCCTCCCCGACAACGTGAAAAAAGGGACATTTGAATATTCAGGCAAAAGAAATTGTCCTTAACGTTTATAAGAGCGAAATTTTAGAGCATCCTGAAATGAGAATGCATGATATTGAAAGACGTGTGGCGAACAAAACAGGCTTAAAAAGTCTACATTCTATAGTTTATATAGTATAGTAACGGGACAGAAATAGTGGAAAAGAAATTATTTAAAATCAATAAGGAAATACCGCGACCAGGGCAGGAAGATTTATTACTTGGATGTAACCTGGATAAATGTAAGACAAACCTTCTTAGACGGACTAACCACTAGCCTAAGGAATCCGTCAGGTACGTGTATCTAACCAATTCGTCATTTGTGTTGTAAAAATGATGTCAAGGAGACTGAATCTATGAGCCCACGCTGAAAACTTAGCTACACTAAGCAGCTATATCTGGTAGATTTGGGACCAACGCCTGTTAGATACTCTGCATGTATTATTATTAGTTTTCTTGAATATTATATGAAATAATTATTTCCAGGAAAAGAAAAACGTCACATTGGAAGTGAAGGTGGCTTTGTGCCCACTGCCCTATGGGCATTTGACTGAAAGATAACGACGGACTACCATGAAGAAATGGACGGGAGCTCATTTGAACGATGATTTGAAAAAACGCTCCCAAAGCTTGATGACAATGCCGTCATTGTTTTTGATAATGCTGCATACCACACTAGAAGACTAGAAAAAATTCCCACGATGTCCACAACATTACTCGACTTCCTGTTGTTCCTTTATATACATTTGGAGCATTTTAACTTTTCGCTATCAGACTTCTTTAATTTTCAGTCAGTTCGCTTGCGGCTGTGTCAGAAGAACATACAGGATGCTTTAGTAAAACAACAATACTTCTGGGGCGAGAACGAGGAACCCACCAATAGCTCTGAGATTTTGACTATTCAGACTATTTGTTGTGTGCGCGATGATAGAGTCATCTAATGACCACAAGTATCCGGAACTCAGAACTTGGAAATTCTCTGCAACTAGGCAGCAGCGGTGGCCGCAGTAGTAGACTCTTCGGTCTCCTGATCAGTCGCCGTGCGCTGTGCGGGTTCGAATCCCATCCCAAGAGAAATTTTTCTCTTGGCTATGGATGTTGTGATTGTCCGTAGGTGGTAGACGGTCTCTGACTGGCGGACGCAGAAGTACCACCCGGCGGATCTCGTAGGCGGAGCCAGAATGTGTGCATGTAGCATGCACACGTGTTTGCTCGCCAGAGTCCGTGTGGCGTTCCTCCCTTCCTCCCTTCCCTATATCCCCCTATAGCCCCACGGTACCCCATGGGTGTTTAGGCCTTAGGCCTTCGTGGTGGTTGGAGTATAAAAAAAAGGCAGAAATTCAACAATCCTTCCAATAGACATTAGTTTCAATGAAAATATTTTCAAAGCAGAACTTATTTATCCATCTATTCAGGCAGCACAAATATAAATATAATCTTATAATGTTATTGACGCAATGGCTAAAACCCAAAATAGCACCGTTTTAAGGCTGTCCCCGTATTACGGCGAATTAAATCCCACTGAGCAAATATAAAAAACTATGTGGCATCAAAGAATAGAACATTCAAATTTTATGAAGCTGTCAACAGAGTGACGGAAAACCATTGGAAATATTGAATTCGGCACATTCAAGAGACAATAGAAACAAATATGTGGGATCTTGACAATATGATCGCTTTCAAATTAAACCTGTAATGATTAATATTAACCATTCGGACGATGATTCAAGTACTTCCAGCGAATAAAGGATTGTGAAAAGTACGTAAAGTTCTTTATTTAAAAATAATCATTTATTTTGTTAGATTATTCCAAGACAATTGAGGAAAATACGGACCTGTACAATCTCGCGTTTGGGCATGTTGTGGTTTGCTTGGGCATAAATGGACTACGAATGGGGTATAAATGAAGCTACATCACCTAAGAAGAAAAAGGTAACTAATCCTGATGTGCGGTATGATGGTTTTGACCATTGGTCCAACCATGGACCCTAAGGACGCTGCACATATTGCCGTATTGGTTATTCAACTATCAGATGCACTGAATGCAATTCAATTCTCTGTTTTGTAGCAATCAGAAGCTGTTTTGAAGCGTTTCATACAAAGCAATAAACTTGAATATTATGCTGCATGCTCTAATTTGCATAAATTATGCTAATAACGTTTTTTCAGCTCTTCATATTTTTTGAAAGGGCATGTACCTATACTTAACTTCGATAACTACCAAATTTATTCATTTGAAATATCGATGCTTGCCAGATGAAGGGTTAAAGTGTTCGAAGTGAACACGTACAATTAAAATAGACATCATGATATGCCAAAAAACGAAATTAAGATCCTAGCTCCATCTACAAGCCACTAGCAGAATCATCTACTCTAAATCTTGTTCAAAGTAGATTTCTAAATTTATTTTTGTGTCCTGCTAATGTCTCATAGATGACGCTTGTATCTTCAGGTGGAATACGTTGATCAATGTTGAGGCTGTGTTTTACAGAGTTGGTTCCTAATCTGGAATGAATCGACAACTATAGAAAATACCCCTCTTCCTTCAGGAGACGCAAGCCCAACCCAATGTGGAGTATTGCTCACATGCCTGGAACCTACTGATTTGTCTACACTATCTATACTTTAGACTGCTCAAATAAGGGCTAGATGTCGAATTGGTAACATTTCCTTGAACGATATCAAACCTTTTTCATATCGATGCCAAGTGGATGATCTGGTTTTTTTCTACATACTAGTATGCCAGTACCTCTCTAAGTCTTCATCTACTATGCCTACGCGTTCAGGCCTAGCTGGCTTCTGCTGCTAGAACTAAGCTATCCTATTTTTTTTTTGAAAAAGTACCTAAAGCACGAATTTCAAATGATTTATTAATCATCATAAAGCTTAAGCCTTGGTCTGTTTTTCTACACAATAGCCATTTTTGTTGAAGCCGTTGAAGTTTTTATATGCCTATGTCATATCCGCTGGGAACTGAATGGTTTTCTTGCCAGATGTGCAACCTATTCTGTAACCGGAATACCGGGGCACCGAGACTGCCATAATCAGCTTGAAGACATCTTGTTAATCCGATTTATTTAGGAAATCTGGGAAAGGCCTACTCAGGCACATTGATCCACAATTTCTGCACCCTAGGAACAAGGAACTGTCCGGGCTATCTCTGAATGTGCTTTTAACTGAGAGGGAGGCAGATCGCCGAGCGCCCGACGTACAGTGATTTAGACCACAGAAGAGCTAGAAAAAATACAATTCCTACAGCTCTTATACATTTCTCAGTACAACAAGGTTTTTCAAATTCGGGATTACTTAGTCAATATGAGGGCATTTGAGGGTCATTTCAAGGACAAATTCGAGAAATAAGTCCAGTATTAGAGTCCAGATGTGTGTCATGTAGGGTTTCGCGGTCGTTGAGTCCGAATCAGAGATAAGTTTGTCTGTAGGACAACATTTGAAGGGAATTTGAAAAGGACAAATACGAAAAAGTTGAATAATCGTTTTGGACTACTGGCAGCCTATAAGTTTGTATTTCTCAACAGTTTGCAAAAGCTAGCAAAAGCTGACAGTACATTTTATCTAGCAGTACCTCCGGAATCACAAACCATTGGGGCAATGGTCGGAACCTTATTAAAAACCTCTGCGAATAATACTAATATACAGAAGTGGAGGTCTACAAAAAATATCCGTTTAATTCACGGTGTACATGGAAACAACAATAATGTCATATTTCTGTTACATCAAATAAAGTTCGCACTCTCTTTATTAGGATCCATAATCAAGTTTGCCGCTGGACAGTAGTGTCGAATGATACACCACAAACTTCAAGAGTCTTCTATCGTGAAGGTAGTGGAAGCAAAGTTATGATTCCATGGACAACTGTTTTTAAAGAAATGTCATCAATTAGGCTGCAGCGGTGGCCGCAGTAGTAGACTCTTCGGTCTCCTGATCAGCTGCCGTGCGCTGTGCGAGTTCGAATCCCGTCCCAAGAGAAATTTTTCTCTTGGCTATGGATGTTGTGATTGTCCGTAGGTGGTCGACGGTCTCTGACTGTCGAACGCAGAGGTACCACCCCGCGGATTTCGTACGCGGTGCCAGACTGTGTGCTGCTGCTCATCAGCACGGCTCGGCTATGAATGCCTGCACGTAGAGTGCTGTCATCATCCATTTATAAATACTCTGATTGGTTACAGCTATCGTATTGCGGGGTTTAGCCCCTATTTCCTGTATTAAGAATCTTTGCCATTTTCTTTAATCCTACCCTGTCCTCAGAGTATCGATTTTTATGAGGCGCTATCTGTTGTCAAGTATCGTCATTTCAGTAGGGAAGTAAATTAATATAAACTAGAGGGTTCTATATTACAAGGCTAATGTTCTACTTTGAGTACCCTGGAGATGGCTCTGTAGAGGTCTAAAATGAATGACCTAGGGCAATTTCCTTTTTGCATATCGTCGAAGTGAAGTCCATTAAAAACGAGCAAATTTCAGTATATTTATTTACATTTCTATTTACATAGTTGTGATTTTGATCATTTCCACGGTAGATTCCTAGCATACATACAAGTATTTTTACATTTTAAGGACTATCTCTAAACCAATGTCTAAAAATGATTTGCCATAATATCTGATTTGTTATTACATTCTACCGTTAGAATGATTATACACATACATTACAAAAATAATCCAACATATAAAAGTATACAATAATTTGTCAGTCTAAGTACCTAAATAAGTTAGTAGTCATAGGATATTAAGCAATAGGTATGAAAGCAGTTCTGAGGAACAGAAATAAGTGGAAAATTATGAGAAGAATATGTTTTACGCTGAAACTACGTTTTGCCTTGTGATCAAATTGAAATCAATTCAAGATATTAGCAGTGTGAATCAAGTCCAGTCGTTTTACATCAGTCTTGATATTGCTTGATAATATAAATATGAGTACCTAAATTATAAATACACAACGGAAGGGTTTTGTGACCAGCTACAGAGAAAATAATACATATTGTACAAAACATTCGTGTACCAAGTAAAAGAACGATAAAAGTGTAAACTTAAAAACGAATTTCTTAATCAGCTGATAAAAAAATTAAAAATTATTAAATAAAGTAGTTTGAAAATGCTTGAACTCAAGTCAAGTAGAACATTAAAAAAATCAAGTCAAGTCAAGCGTTAATTAACGTTTCAAGAAATTTTATTATCAAGTCAAGTACAAATGTTTAAATTGATTGACTGGATGACTTCCTAGTTTTGAAGTTACTTTGGTATCATATTCAACGAACTGTTACCATACCCTTATCCACATACGAAATATTAAAAAACTAATTTTACATACTGTATGAATTCCTTTACACTTAAGCTTTTCTAATGACATTTTATCACAAAGCATATAGTAGGAATAACATCTTTAAAGACAGGTAATGTGTGTCATACAGTGTCTGTCCTTGGGTGATTCTTATTGAGAAGAAAAGTTCATATGTATAAAAATAAGCCTAGCTGGATTTAGTTTTTGTGATACAAGACCTTAAACTTATTTGAAAATCCGTTGTTTTTTTTTAAAAAGTCGTACAGTCGATTTTGTGCAAGTTGTAGAAGCTTAGGAGCTAAAGACGTATCAGTAGACGACAACGCTTTTAGATTCGTTTACATTTTTTCTGCTTCCTTGTGTTACCGACGCCATATAGTACGGTCATTATATGATATGGTATAAATAATAATGGAATCTGGTTCATCTGTATATATTATCCATTTGAGCACTGTGCAATAATCTAAAAAGCCCTAATAGATACAACTGGTTTGAATGTAGCGAATCGCATTGTTTTGATACTCTCATAGCAACAAGTTCCCATAATGTGACTGCGCTATGAAGAACCGAACCCCCACCCCCCTCCCAAGCCCCGCAAGCAGGTGAGTCAGCGCGATGCAACAGAGCGGTACTCGGGAATATATTTTCAGTTTCAGTCTTGAATAATAATTTTGTGCGATACGACGGACATCGAAAATTATATGTACCAAGGCGCTATGAATGATGCTAACCCATCTTGCAGCAAATACTTTTCGGAAATCGATATAAAAGAATGTGCCTGTCTGTTGATGCTAGACAGATTTACATTCATGTTTATAATGAACTGTTACGTGAAATGAGTGATAGCGGCAATAGTAGTTTCCTTAAAAACAGCCTAAGTGACTAACGTGGCATATCCTACAATTTGTAAAATCATTCGCAACGGTGTCAAATCAAGAAAAAGAAGAATTGACAAGGGGGCATCCATACCTTTAGGTGCAGCAACAACTGCTAAAATAAGGAACATAGTGTATGATCATTGTAAACGTAATGAAATTCTCACAGCAGAGATGGTACATCGAGAACTGATCGAAAGAGGAGAGAGTTGTACGCTGTGGACGTTTCAGAGATTTGAAACCTATAACAATCAATGTTATTACAACAACTTGATTCGGTCATCTTTCATCTCATCCAGACTTGCAAGAGAAAATGTTTGAAAATTTTTAAATCCGTCTCTGTCCGCATGCCTCCGGTTCTCGGTATATCGCAATTTTATGACTATCGGCAAAAAATGTAAACGAATCTAAAAGCGTTGTTCTACTATACCACCGAAAACCTAACTAAAAGCATTAAAGAAAAAAAAACACTTGAAACAAAATAATAATGATCGCCGGATTTAAATCTGTCCACTTAGAAAGTTTGCTTTTTTTAGGCGTTTTTTATTCCGTTTAATCTAGATTCTAGCCTGCACCTACTAAGTTCCAAGAGGTTTTTAAGAAAAATCAGCTAAAGCGTTACCACAGATTTCACAAAAAGAAACGGATGTTAAAAACGAATTTGAAAGCGCACCATTACGGGAACTATGTTCATATGAACCTTTTTTCTTAGAATCACCCAAGGAGTCATCCACTGAAGCTGGACCAATATCTTCGTTTGCTTTGATTCAACTGGATCTGCTCTAGAAGCGACTTTACATCTGATTCCGATAAAAAAACATTCTTCAGCACGACCGTTTTACATTTTTTTAACCCAAATAGACTAAACTGCCTCGCAGCCTCAAAAAGGTGCAGTTCAAAAATCGCTTTCTAAAGGAAGTCTTGGTAACCTCTGTTGTTCTACATCTGACGAATCAGTATCATCAATAGTAGCCCTAGATTGCCTCTTACTCTCAGTCTCAGATCTTCTTCGTCTCCTCTTTCTTCGTATCCTTCCTTTTTTACTTCCTGCAGTGCTTCCTTGACTTCCCATCGAAGCTACGCTATGCATGCTCCCTGCCAAGCTTCCTTGTGAAGAATCCAACCTTGGAAGCAACAATGCATCTGTGTACGATGGAGGACTTTGAAGCTCTCTAGGATCAGGAGCATTTCTATCTTCTTCCTCTCTATATTCTCTATGGAGTCTTTGCATCCTTTGTAAGGCTTCTCGAGCTTCTCTTTCTACACCTCGTCTTTGTTCCTCTGCTTCTCTCAATCGTTTTTCTTTCATCGATGTCAGTTTTCTCAAAGCTATTATCACAATAAGGAAACAGGTCATTGATATCACAACTGCGACAGAGTACCACCAAAGTTGCTTCTTCTTAGTAGCATCTGGAAACCATTCCTTTGCACAGGCATCTCTCCAAGTCAGACCTGTGGCTTCTTCTGGAGAATCGCATATCAAGCTTTCAGTTCGTCCACCATTCATGTAAAGCTCTTCGTACATTGCTTTGAGTTTTGGGCAATCACATCTCCACTGGTTGTCATCTAGCTTGACCAGTTGTAAGTTTTGTGGGAAGAAATCTGGCTCTACGTGGCTTAGACGGTTGCTAGACAGGTCCAGCTTCTTTAAATAATACATCTGTTTGAATGTCATGTTATTTATACTTTTTATTCTACAGCCACTAACATCCAGTTCTGTTACTCTATCTCCTGTCCAGGAATCTGGTAGATAAGATATAAAGTTCCGAGCTAATGACAATCTAGAAAGCTTTGGAAGATTCGTTAAACTGTACCTTGATACTGTGTAGATTTCACAGTAGCTGACGTCTAGATACTTCAGCGAACTGCTTGTTATGGTGTCCAAAGTATTGATATAGTTGTGCGACAAGCTCAAGTCTACTAAGGAAATAACTGGTAGGAATACTTTTTCATTGAGTACTGTTAGTTTGTTTGAAGACAAATCAAGAAATTCTAAATAATCCAGACCCTTGAATGCATTCTCTTCCACAGCAGATATTGAGTTTAAAGATAAATTCAGTCTGACCAAGTTTGGACAACCTACAAAACTATTATTCAGCAAGGCTTTCAAAGAATTACCTCGCAAGTTTAAAATAGCTAATTTTCTCATACTTCCAGTAGGTACGGTTTCCAAGTTTGAGTTAGACAAATCAAGATACAATAAGCTATCTGAGTTGCATTCAAGTTTTCTCAATAAGGTATTGTTGCTTAGTACTAACGTTTCTAAAGAATCTATCCTAGTGAAGAGCTTTGGTAGCAAAAATTCTAAAGAGCATCCACTAAAATCAATGAATTTTATGGAATCAGATACAAAAAGAGTGCCACTTAGAATTCTTATTGGGTTAGATTTCAAATGTAGCTCTTTCAGTCTAGGCAAATGATCAAAAATCTGCACTGGCACCGAAATCATAGAACAATTGTTCAGTTTAAGAATCTCCAAAGTTGAATTTTCGAAATGCTTTGAAAACTGTGGGATGCTTCTCAAAGCGTTGTGAGAAAGATCCAAGTAGCCTAAGCTAGTCAAATGAGTAAAGGCTTGCGTGTGCAGGTCTTTCCAATCACAAAAATAATTGTGGGAGAGGTCAAAACGCTCCAGTTGGCTCATTCCATAAAATACGGAGTGGCTCAAAGTAGATATTCTGTTGTGCGACATATTCAGGTACTTCAGTTCACGATACATCGTCAGTTCTGTGGGAAAGCGTTGAAATTCGTTGAAGGAAAGATCCAGACTGACCACCTGAAAGTGAAAATACAGATTTAAAGTGGCATTTGATACAAGCAGAAGCTACTATTATTAAAAACGAAAAACAATCGTGGGCATGGAACAGGAGCAGAAATAAAAGGATTGGTAACCCGAGCGGCGAACGTTATTGCTTATTGGCTTCATCGGGCCCAAATGTGCATCGAAAACACCGAAGTGAAAATATATGCCCATCAGTCCTGGACACGGGTATAATTTGAAGGAAAACAAGGATGGAAAGGGAAATACAACTTGAAGTGGTCAACAAGAGCTACCAGGCACGTTTGTGGTTGTGGTCAGAGGACCTCGTGTTTACAAGGTATCAACCAATGCCCTGGAGGAAAGCTATAACTACCTGCGGTGAAACTTTGAGCCCATGAGTAAATACAAAGAAAGACAAGGAGTTTTGTGGACACTTAGATGAAAAATAAAGGACAATCGCGGGCATGTCCGCAATAAAGAAACATGAGCAGAAATAGAGAAATTGGCAACCCGAGCGATGTAAACACAAGGTCCTTTGACCGAAGCCACAAATGTGCCTCCTGGCTCTTGTTGGTGGTTTCTAGTTGTATTTCCGTTTCCATTCTTGTTTTCCTTCAGGTTAAATAAGTATGCAGATTTGATTGTCCACGATTGTTCTTCAATTTTCTTCTAAGTTTCCGCAAAACTACTCGCATTTCTTTGTTTTATGTGTCTTGAGACATTGGTCCTGAGGTAAAACGTATTGAACATTAGCCTTTTGTTTTGTTCCGTTGTTACAACCATCTATTACAGCAGGCCTTGGGATACACTATTTCCCACAATACTTTTCTGCTGATGGCAATAATGAATTTGCTGATATTGAGAAGAATGTCAGAATTATTTCCAGCAAATACTGATTAATGTTTATTTAATTCGTAAGTGACGTGAAAATGTAGACACGGGTATTAGCAGTAGCGATTTGTTTGTTATGATGTATACCAAAACTTTTCTAATTACTCTATGCAAACCAACTCACACAAATGCGTTAGCGACACTAGGAAGTACGAAGCAGCACCTTCATAGAGCTTAACGATATGGGGTACTACTCAGCTCTCAGAATCTCATTTCTTCACAAAAACCAAGAGATAATATTTTAACAAAGGTCAACAAAAACGTTTATATTGTTGCCACAGCATGATTTAATTATGTTTCAAAAAAAAAACAAAAATTATTTTTTCTGGGTGTAACACTTTTCACTGAGTATAGCTTAGAAGATAGTGTAGACTGCATCAAGTGGGTTTTAGATTTATCTTGAGCTGCCAGCCACCTTGTATGTACAATCATAGAATTGTTACTACTCGCATTGTCTATCATTACTCTATATTCCGTACTATTCGGACAAAAACCGCATAATCGGAGTCATTGAATCACTTAATAGGTTGCAAACACATTTCCGGTATATTTACGGTATACATATAATACTCTCAATTACAACTGCTGTCAATGCACTTTTTTGTCAGTTTAGTCGGTTAACTCCAATGCAATGCAAGATGCTTTGTTGTACCGGCAAAGTGATTGAATGTACAGGGTGTCACAGAATCTCGTAAGGAAAACTAATTCAGCACGTTAGAATAAAAGTTCTTCCCAGAGTTGGTCAGACAATGCTTCTTTGATAGAGTTTATCTTACATTTCTCGAAAACCATCTAGGATAAAGGTACGCGCAAATGTATTGTTTATCAGAGGTCTGCAAAATCGCTTTTACAAAGTACTTAGGTCAGTGGCGTTCGTGCCGGCCAGGATCTTTAGACAAAAACAGTAGACCACTGGTTGCTCCAACGAGTAAGTATCAGTACATCATTATCAGATGGATTCTGAGAGTTTTTCGTTCAAGTGACGATACTCGTTTCAAAAATGCGGAATCTAATTCTGGCTCGGTAGGTTCAGTTAGCGATGGATGTCTACACATCAGACTGTATAAACATATTTCTGTTTCCTTTGCAGATGGAGGGCAAATATGTGCGACTCATTATCTCTAACAGGTGCACAATATTACCGGGATCAGCAGCTTCTTAATAATAGGTCTTTGGCTGATACCAAACATGCAAAAATTCACAACCATTTTTCGCATATAAGTGTAAGCGATTTTGATTTTTGTAGTTTTTGAGTTGTTTCCTTCTCAAGATATAGCCAGTCATAAGATTTGCCGACAGACCAACGGAAATAAATGACATTGTTTTTTATGATGTACATGTCATATAACATCCGAAAAACTTAATGTCTCATTTACGAAATCTTTAGCGATTACGATACTCCCTCGCCCAGTGACGTAGGAAGTAAAATGACAGAAAGACCCCTACGTCTGTGGCTCATAACTACTCAACGTTCTAATCAACGTACAGATAGATGTCGCACCACCTAAACGATAGACCCATCTAGCAGCTGGAATGCCCAGTATTCACAGAACAGTTCAACAATGGCTCTGTATTATGCGTATATGCACAAACGATTGACATCGACATGTTTGATTTCATCTGTGTAACCACGACCAACAGCAGACAACGCTGTTTCGTGCTCATTAGTCTCACATCAGAATGATATAGGACTAGTAGTTGAGACAAAAAGCAAATATGGTCGTTTGGAAAAGTCAAAATGCTGTGCGGAGGTAGGCGAAAAATCTGATCAATATCGTACTAAGAGATCATGAAAAACCCCTACGTCAGCGGAGCATAACAAAGTCAAAATAATGTGCGGAGGTAGGCGAAAAATCTGATCAATATCGTAATAAGAGATCACGAAAAACCCCTACGTCACCGGAGCATAACTGCTCGACGTTATGAGTTATGCTATTACTCGTAACCAGTACATCAATCTAACGTCATTAAAAATGCTTAATGAACATAACGAAAAAATCCTAGAATCACTGTTCAAGCAGAACTGAGCTTTGAGAAAACCGCACTGATTTTTGTGAAAACCAAAAGCGTACAATTTTCCAAAGATGGACACGTTCCATGGAAATGGGGAATTGCTGGACTCATACAATGATATACAGGGTGTTTCACAACTTATCCGACACAGTATTGAAGAATTGCGTGACCGAATCACAGTGGCTGACGATAATTTGAGCCTTCAGGCACAGCAGAAAGGAGGTGTATTTGAATTCGTGTGCCGAAATTGGATTAGACGGACCCAAGCTTGCATTGCAGTCAATGGAAACAATTTTGAACAGCTTTTATAAGCATAAGTGAACTGCTACACCGTATTATTTTATTATCTCGATTTCTGTAGGACTTTTATTACATTTGCTTTTAAAAATCAACTGCCTTCGTAACAGTGCATATGTGGCCGGTTAGGTAACAAATGCTTTATTATTATCATCATTACTTATGAAACAGTAGGAGAACACAAATCACATTTTTACGAACATAACGACAAACTCTTTCCAAGCAAAATCGATATGGTTCCAGGAAAGTAATAGTTATTTTTGCAGAAACCATTTAAATCTTTAAGCACCCTCATGTAGTAGGTTTAAGCGTGGAGATGGGGATGTTTTGATGCATACTTATGTTTTCCAATCTGTATACTGTATCTTTCTCGTCCACAAGAACTGGGTTGAATGTGGCCAGCTATTGGGCGTGGGAGTATCCAATCGACACCTTGAATTTCATTTCTCCAAAATTCATATATCCTGTTCTGCATTTATGTAAATAATTATGTCACATATTGCACGTCTGTTTGCGTTTTGTTTTAGCGGCTTGTGAATTTGTTCGTATAAAGCGACAAGCTTAACGATGTCGTAAGCTATAAAACACGCAATACCGAATTTATTACTTTTTATGGATTCTAAACAAAGGTGAGTAGGTTATAAACGGTGAAACAAACGTGTTTCTTAGCCCAGAAAAGTGTGGGAGAGTATTCAGTATTCCATCCATAAATAAGAATCGTAGAAGCCGGATCAAACATGTCATGAAACTGGTATTATGTATTTCTAAACAATCTTTTGGGAAACCATTATGAAAATAAATGAGGTCTACTATACCCTATTCGTAGTCCATTTACACCCAGACTAAACACAACATGCCGAAAAGGAAGATTGTACAGGTCCGTATTTTCCTCAATGGTCTTGTAATAATCTAATAAATGATTATTTTTATAGAAAGAAGTGCACATATAGAATTCTCAAAGGACTAAACGTGTGTATTATGAAGATTGGTTATCCCATTAAGAGTAAAAATAGCTTCATAGGTGGCCAAAATATCAGCTGTAAAACAATCATTTTCTTGCAACAGCCACTCACAAAATCTTACTCTTAAGGGGTAGCCTGTAGGCAGCAACGCCTGGACGCTCTGATAAGGGTTCAGTTGGGCCTCATGTAATATGCGCCATGCTGTTGCTTGTGACACTTTTGGGACACACAATATTCAAAACTTCGTCTTCGGTATTTAAAACGCGTTGTGAGCGAACCAGACCCCATCCACTCCACGTCTGGAACGCTAATCTCCACTAGCACGTGCACGTAAAGCAGTTGAACTAAATATTTTGTGTTGTGGTATGCGCCTATTCGGAAATCGGTACGCATACAAACGAGAGGCCGCTCGCGAATCTTGCACTGCTTCTCCGTAAGCTAAAACAATGTCCACTAACTCCTTATTAGTGTACATATGTGCCATTTTTATTAATAAATAACCAAAAACATAAACTCGCAAAATACTTTCTTATTTGACTTCACAAAAATCGACCGTTCTTCATCCACATCACCCGCGATACAAATTAAACCTTATTTACACGTTCTTATCAGTATGAAAAAACAAAAAATTCTTGGTATTTCGTTTTCGTTAGTTTGGTAGGTACAACATTTGCTACAATAAATTATTAAAGCGTGTTCTAATATCACGACGATTAATGCAAAATACAGATATTTATTTCTCAATTTATTATTGAAACTCACGTTTATAACTTAATTTCTGTAGGACTTCTATTACATTTTGTTTGAGAAATCGACTTCTTTCGTAACAGTGCATGTGTGATTAAAATTTGTCGGATAAGTTGTCCTGTCTATGTATAATTAACTAAAAACATAAATTACTAAGGCCACTCTCAAGATTTCTAAAAGCACAATTAAATTGGCGAAATACTGCCACTGTATCCATTATAAGTTACCTACAAGTGACGATCAGTAATATACAACAGGAATAGTTTTATGGACTGATTAGTAAAGCAAAAGCTGTAAAACTTTCTTACATGAATTGAATGGTCCAATCTACCAAAAGCTTTTGTAATATCTGTATATATGACATCTAGCTGACCTTGACTATCTAGTGTATTAAAACCTAACTGGGTAAATATTGTCAAGTTGGCTACTGTAGATTTTCTATTCATAAACCCATGCTGACTTTCAGAAATGTGCATATGTGTAAATAGATAGATGCGATTGTACGAAATGACCTCTAAAAGGTTAGCAAAGTTGTTGAGGATACAGATTGCCCGATAAATGACAGTATATTTCAGATCCCCTTTTGGGCGCCAGAATACGGTATATGATTGGTTGTTTTCAGGAAGAATACGTTAATCAATCGTAGAATCCATCTAGTTTCAAGATACTGGTAGTATTTTTTTTTGTAAAAACTAACAGCGAACGATTTTCTCACTAATACTAGAGGGTTGAGGTCGTAAACGTCACTGTTATAGTATAGTTAATGTCACCTTTGACAATAAATTCGCGTGTACTAAAACTCATCTCAATATCTCAATCTGTTTTCGAGAAAGAACCAGGATGTTCCGCTTTGGCCGTTTTCCTGGTGAAAAGTAGGATATACGACTTTTAAAAATTGACCTGACCTTGACTATAACCTTCAAGGTCATTGTCTTGGTGAAATCCATGATCACCATTGGTCGTTCTTTAAGAAATCCTAGTAATTATACGTTCTACTTCATCTCTAATTATAATATTTTAAGACCAATGTCCCCCATATATACTGAGTGACGGAAAAAGGTAAACACTTACGAATGTATATACGATTTTCATGGTCTTGTTGATCATCGTGCATCCCCAAACAGAAGCGGGATGCGACACTAAAGACCACCTGATTCCATTCCCGGTCCCATAGAATTCTTTCTGTACACCAGAACAACCGGTTACGCCGATGTTCAGTTGTGAGAGGTAGCACCATCATTCCATGCTCTTCAAACCACTGGTTAGCGATGGCTCGAGTACTACTGAATCTGTCTCTCAGAGCCAGAAGGGTTAACCGGCGGACTTGCCGTTTTGTGGTCCCTCTGGGACGTCCAGAAGCACTCGCTTGCTGTCCTTGGCCTTCCTGAGTCTACGCTCGTTCACACTGCAGTATACTGCGTACGGATCTGTCGGTCCTCCTAGAAACTTCTCTTATCGATAGACCAGCTTCACGCAGCCCGACAATTCGACACGTCTCAAGGTCACTTAGCTGGGAATTTTACGCACTCTAGGCATTTTGAGCAATCACAAAAGGGCTTCTCGATAAGCTACACGAAATTTAACATTTAACTGACACCGTAAATGTATGAAAACTGCATGCTTCTTTATCACCAAATAATACACGCAGCCACCATAAAAACTTAACAGAAAAATATGACCATTTCATCACTTGGCAAGATAAATCGATATTTAAGAAATTCTGGTATTCTAATAAACATACGTTGGCGTTCATCTTTTTTTGTCACTCAGTATATGTATATCAATAAACCATACTTCGGTGTTTCTGGGTTCAGTGGGGAATAAAGGAGGGGTTGATCCATTTGGACTTTTGATCGGCATGTTGTGTCAACAGATTTAGTCAAAATCCAATTTCCATAAAGAAACCACCCGATTCTTTAAGGTGAACTATCAAATACGGGCAATACTCACTATTATGAAAACGAAGCATTTCTGAATGTTTACATGTAATCTTCCCTAATCCGTACTATGCACCTTAAAAGTTACCTATCTGCCCTATTTTTTAAGATCCATATTTATAGAAGCTTTTTCAATTCCAAGATATGTTGTTTTCAAGCGCCCTGGTCTGGTTCCTGGGAACGACCGAGTTTTTCCTTTAGTAACTTTATAATAATAATAATAAAAATAAATAGCGTTTGTTGCCCAACAGTTAAGGAAACCATTTACAGGACAATCCTAAGATAAATAAAAATATTAAGAACAGAAAATACATAAAAAGCAGGTATTTCATCTAAAGAAAAAAAAAACAAGAAAAAGAAGCAAAAAAAAAACAGATTTCACTCAGGGAAGTAACATATCATAAATTATCCAAGCACTTTCTAGATACTCCCAGAATGCTGTTCAATCACAATAATGTGATATTGCATTGAAAGTTTCACACATCACATATATGGGTGCCTTCAAAAACAAATTTGTGCGAGCCCTGTCACAATAAAATGTTTTGACTGTACGAGTTTGAATAAATGGAACATTAAAGTTTATTTGAGCCACAATCCCATTAGCATCAATTTGACTGTGCAGTAGTTTATGCAAGAACGTAATTGATGTACACTTCCTTCTCAGTTCTAAAGACTGCATTTGAAACCTAGACAATAACAAACTTTCAGATATACCACGTTCAGGATATATACCGTCAACTTTAAAAGATAAAAATTTTAGAAACTGTCTCTGTACATGCTCAAGAGAATCAATGTAGCAGTTGTAAATTGGGTTTCAAATTAAGGACGCATATTCCAATTTCGATCTAATATATGCAGAATACAAAACCAACAGTGACTCTGGGTGGCTAAAGTTTCTACAGTTTCTCACAATAAAATCGTACGCCCGCGAAGCTTCACTCACCTTTTGAGCAATGTGGAGTGAAAAATTAAGTTTATGGTCAAAAACTACACCCAAATCCTTAATTGAGTTATAAAGATTTATGTGAGCATCCCCAATTTTATAATTAAATTTATAAGCAGAAGTTTTTCTGGAAAAGCTAAGTACACTACACTTAGACGCATTAAGAAATAAATTACTGTCGTCACACCAAGCCACTAGAGAATTAATATCACGCTGAAGTGCAATACAAACAGTCTCTGACTCAATAATCCTGAATAATTTTAAATCATCCGCAAAGAGGAGCTTGTTACAACTTAAATAATGCAGAACATAATCAATAAATAAGGTAAACAATAAAGGACCAAGATTTGAACACTGAGGCACTCCCGATTTAGTTATATACTGGTACGACTTGAATTCATTAAAAGTAACAGATAGCTTCCTTTCATGAAGATTACTTTGAATGAGTGCTAACGCTGATGAATGGAATCCATAATAAAAAAGTTTATTCAAAAGTATTCCGTGGTTCACCCTATCGAACGCTTTAGCGAAATCGGTATATACTACATCTAGTGGACCTTGCTAATCGACACATTCAATAGCGACCTGAGTGAAGATTGTTAAATTAGTGACTGTGGATCTCTTAGTATCAAAACCATGCGGAAAAGGGGACAGAGATCTATGAACTGAGGAGTAAATTTATATTATGCAATATTATCTCCAGCAATTTGGAGAAATTTGACAATATTGCCACCGCTCTGTAGTTTTTAATATCAGTATTATCCGCTGATTTGAAAATAGGTGTCGCTCTAGAAAGTTTCCAAATATCAAGGAATGTGTTGGTTTCTATAATCAGATTGTATATTTTTAATAACAGCTTAACAAAGACTTGAATACAATCTTTGACTATGAACGAGGGGATGTTGTCTGGGCCGGCCGTTACTCTATTCTTGAGCTGTTTAGATGCAGCAATAATCTCATTTTCATTAATGTGATTGAAAAATATGTTAACCTGACTAGTAGGATTCCTACCTTCAATAAAATCATTACGAGTAGATGGATCAACAAAAACACTATTAAAAAAATCTGCAAATGGATTGACAGCACAGTGAGGATCGTAAAGTGAGACGTCATTCAATTTCATTTTACCAGGCATCCTAGATTTTTTGTATGCATGAAACTCCAAAAATGTTTAGGATCTTGAGAGATGGAAATCTCAACATTACGTGTATGTTCATGTAGATGGTTATTGTGACTCTTTTTGTACTTCTTGTATAACTTTGCTTTACTTCAATCAAGTCTGTGTACCGTGTTTAAAAAAGGAAGAACATACTTACCTCAGGATTAATTTCTGGAGGCAACCTACTGAGCTCATTTCCTCTACAATTGGTAATAACGCTGTCACACTGGCACATCACTGGACACTTATCTGCTATTTCGTATCCCACAAGACTCATGATTAGGTTTGGCAAAATGCACCACATGCCAAGCATTTTTTGCAGTTTCATTCGGACTTTTGATTACAGTTACATCTTTATCAGAAATTGTTTTGGTGTTCATTTGACGGTGTACATCCATACTGAGTCAGCTAGATGAGATAACGCAGGTATAGCTGATAACAAGGATAGAAGTGTGTTGTACAAATAGATTTTGTTATCTTGCATGAAATAAATATATTAGCTTGCTGATAGCATCCGGCAGTACACATCTTGTATTGAGGCTCACTGAAAAATCCCCGCCCATGAAGAATTTTTGAACAATAGACTGAGAAATACATAATAGTTTAAAAAACTAAAACACACGCTTTTATAGCTAAATTCTTTGTAATTAAAAATTATTTTCTTCTTTTTAGTTCGGTTAGCTATAAAAGCCTGTATTTTTAGTTTTCTAAGCTATTATTTACTTTTCATTTTTTAGTTCGATTTATCAATTAGTTTTTTGTGGACATGTGGTATTGAAATGTCTTACGAATCATTTCGTTATCTGATCATTTCCTGTTACTTAGAGCAACCAAGTTGCTCAATCCGAATACCCACGAGAGATCTTACATGACTAAGTACTACATAAACTTGTCCAGCAGCAAAATTAATATTAGTTTGTTTCATAAACTATGGTTCAAAAATGTTTCCTTACAAAAACTCGGGGTGTTAAAGTTTTAGGAAAAAATGGAATTAAATTAGTATTTTCAGAACCGCTTCAGATATTTCACTGATATTCAGTACGTAGTGAAAGTTAATAAAATTGCATATTTTTCAATGCAAAAATAATTTTTAGCTTTAACAGTGGCGTGCGTACGGGTATTGACTTCGATATATTTTAAGAAAAAAATGGTACGCCAACGGTTTTTTGCCAAATAAAAATTATTTTTGAATTCCCCGTTCAATTCAAAATAAAAGATTTCTCTTGAATTGTTTTCCTTCAATACGCCATTATTGAGTAAAATAATAAAAACCGTTGTATTGTCTAACTTGCAAAATTATTATTTTTAATTGGAAAAGATTAAACACGTTAGGGGTAATGAACAACAACTACTGACAACATAAACATAACATTAAAACCAACGAAATGATTACAAAAATTGTTGAAAATGGACCCCTTCACTTAGTATGCATGCTTCCGCCCTCCTTCTCATGGAATTGCGCACTCATTGAAATATGCCTGGAGTGTTTTTTATTCTATGGGGTTGTCCAAAACGGACACAGGAAAGTAAATGCATATTAAAACAAGAAAGATTGATATTCAAATCAAGTTGGGTACTTTATTTTGAAGGTTCATTTATACCATTTATGTATGAAAAATAATATCGCTCAACGCCATTAATAGTCAACACAACACTAGAATAGGGCATGATCTGAGTATACCGACACATAACTCTGCCCTATTCCAAGAATCTCCCACTCTAGCGTGCACTAAGGTATACAATAATCTGCCGAGTGAGTTGCGGAGAAGCACTAATATCCTTGCGCTGAAAAAACATCTCAGGAAATATCTGGTTGAAAAATGCTATTACTCTCTACATGAGTTTTACTAACACATGAAAGTATCTGTTTTTTAAATTCTTTTAAGCTGTTAATAATTTCGTTATCAGTGAATTGTCTATTATCGTGAAGTGAATGTATTTTAATTTCACTTTTTATTCGAGTTTTAACGAAAGTATGTATGTTTTCTTTTTAAGCTTTTAACCATTTGTCCTCACTGCTCGATGTTTATTGTGTTTATATATTATGTATTTCTAACAGATTCTCCTACCGCTTTTCTTTTCTTTGTATCAGCTTGAATGATTTTTACCGGCTAGACGAACATTTTTTGTGATAAAAAAGTCGCTGTATATGTATATATTTTTACCGTTACAGATTGAACACATTACGATTCTTGCACTGTACCTGTACCTATAATGTAAGATTTAACCTTTTAAAATGTTTTGTAATTGTAATGTCCTTATTTATTTTATAATTATAAGTATTTTTCTGGCATATTTGCTCAAACGCATATATGACCCTCAAATTGATATTGACAAGTCTTATATCATGTAACATGATCCAATAGGACAATAAACTATCTATCTATCTATCTAAATGTTCACCACGACTGGATTTACAGACGTCCACGCGATGGTCGAAATTTTAAATGACATTTTGCAACATGGTCGGTTCTATGGCATTTATCTCGGCAATGATGTTGTTTTTGAGTTCTTGGAGGGTGGCCATAAAAAGAAGTACAAGGGAGTCAAATCGCACGATCTTGGTGGCCATCACCGAAGAAAGACTGCAATCGATGGATATTGACGTTGGTTGTGTGGCATGTTGCACCGTCTTGTTGGAAATAAACATCGTCCATATCTATTCCTTCAAGTTGCGGCAAAAGATAGTCCTCTATCATCACGTGATATCGCTCAGAATTGACGGTAACGGCGTCCCCGGCCGCATTTTCGAAAAAGTAAGGTCCGATGATGCGTTTTGACCACAATGCACACCACACTGTCACTTTTTGAGGATGCATCGGCTGCTCTTGATACTCACGGGGATTTTCGTTCGCCCAGATGCGGCAGTTTTGCTTGTTTACCGTCCCATTCAAAGTGAAATGCGCTTCGTCGCTGAACATGATTTTAGATGAAAAATTGGCATCAATTTGGCGGTGTTCAAGGAGCCAATCTGAGAACGTTCGGCGCGAAAAATGGTCGGCCCGACGCAGCTCTTGCGTCAATTGGATCTTGTAGGCATGTACATTCAAATTCTTGTGGAGAATGCGGAGCAAACTGGTTCTCGAAATGCCCAATTCTTGGGATCGACGCGTTGTTGATTGTTTCGGATCGTCTCTCACACTCTCCTTCACAACAGCAATATTTTCCGGTGTGCGAACGCTCCTTGGCCGGCCAGAGCCTGGCAGATTTGCCACAGAACCTATTGCCTCGAATTTACGCACCAGACGACCGATGGTCGTTTCGTTTGGGCGGTTGTTGCGACCGAAATGTTCACGAAGCGCGCGAAACGTGTTTCTTATTTTTGCACCATTTTTGTAGTGCTCTTGAATAACTTTAATGCGGTCTTTAATCGAATACGACTCCATAGCGGTCAATGGTAAACATTTAACTAACAAAATGACATGTCGGTGACAGAAAACAAAGATGGCGTCTATGTCAAGTTGACGTTTACTTTCCTGCGTCCCTATTGGACAACCCTTTATCACAAGCTGCAACTATTCTTTCTCTTAATTCCTCTACCGTGTTAATAGGACTTGTGTACACTAGAGTCTTAAGATAGCCCCACAAAAATAAATCTAAACTGTTGAGGTCTGGGGACCTTGGTGGCCATTCTTGGGGCCCCCCGCGGCCAATCCAACGATTTGGATAAACAGTTTGTAAACTATTACGAACCGCTATATTGAAATGCGCTGGTGCACCATCATGCATGTACCACATATTGTTTCTTATTACTAACGGAACATCATGAAGCAGCAAAAGCAACTAAAGGTTGTTGAAGAAAGTTGAGGTAAGTCTGTCCGTCAAGTCGTCTCGGCAAGAAGAATGGCCCAATAAAGTGGTTGCCAATAATTCCTGCCCATATGTTAACCGAAATTTGGTGTTGGAAATCGGTTTCTGTTACGGCATAGGGATTTTCTTCTGCTCACAAATGATTACTGTGGAAATTCTGAATGGCATTTCGAAACAAATTAGCTTCGTCCGTGAACAGAATCATCGATTCAAATTGCGGATTTTGTGTAATTTGTGAAGATACCACTGACAAAAGGTCACACGCCTTGGAAAATCAATGGAAAGTAATGCCCGTACTCTTAAAATATGGTAAGAATATAACAAAAAGTCCACTAAAATTCTCCAAACAATTTGATGGCAAATATTTAAGTGTCTAGCGATCTTCCATGTACTCGTTTCAGGATGTTCTTCGACTTCGTGCAGCACTGCTTCCTCAATTTCAGGTGTCCTCACACTTAGAGGTCTACCTTCAGATGTTCCTCTTCGGACAGATCCAGACGATGATGAATATTAGCAAAGGTTCGACTATCTGGCAAAGCACGATCGGGATATCTCTGGTGATAAATCCGTCTGGCTTGCTCACCATTACCGTCGGCAAGGCCATATACGTAATGCATTTCCGCCATTTCTGCATTTGAATAATTCACCATTATTAGCAAGATTGTAAAAACTAAATAATGAAAAAGATGTCACAGCGAACAGATTTGAATAACAGAGACTTGTCAGATGTCAAAAGCCAATGACATATTCCAGAGCAACTAGATATTTATTGCAATTATTGCATTAAAAATTACATTGAAAAATATGCAACTTCATTAACTTTCACTATGTATTACATATCAGTGAAATATCTGAAGCAGTTCTGAAAATATTAATTAATTTCCATTTTTTTCCTAAAACATCAACACCCCGAGTTTTTGTAAGGAAACATTTTTGGACCATAGTTTATAAAAGCAAACTAACATTAATTTTAAAACCACGGGACCAGAACCGCACCTTGCCACCATCACCGTTCCACGGTCCAGTAGATGGCGCCAGTGGTATCTTGGTTATTACGCTAGGAAAATTAGCTCTAAATACGTGTTGACCACAAAAGTATTTAGAAAGAAACGGAGTTTTTCGCACGCTACTCAAGTAAATCGAATATTTGCTCGATGTTTGCAGATTGCTTATTCTTGAATTTTATTAATGTCTTCAACAAATTTATCAAGTAGAATTTTGTACAGCAAGGACAAAAATCAATGATCTAGTTTGACTGACCTGATAAAAACCTATAAAGAGAAAATAGGTTGTAGTATGTAAGTCCAAGCCAAGGCACGTGGTTACAGATTTGGAGGTGTTCGAATCGGAGTGTAGGGCGCGAGCCAACATGAGCCAACGGTTTCCAAGGTTGGCGTTCGATTGCGTCCGTTCCTTGATCGGTACATCAAAGGGAGGTTTGATTTGGTCTGGACAGGATTTGTTGCGCTTTACAGTCTAGTCGTTTGTCTTGCTAGCACCGAACCTAACCCAACGCGGTCTAACTCGAAACTAAATTTACGTGTAGACGACGTGTAGACGAGCGCATTCCAATACCTTTCAACAACAAATGCCA